TTCTTCTTAATGTTCAGGTGGAATCTCCTTTCCTGTCATTTGAACCCCATTGAGTCCTACTCTCCAGGGCAGTGGAAAACAAGCCTGCTCTCTCTTCCTTATGACATCCTTTAACATATTTCTATGTGGCTCTGCACGGCTGCGATTAAAATTCGGTGGATGATTATTGAGGGTTAAAAGACCTAAGCTTCTCCTCTGGAATATAAATGGGAAATCAGATATAGACTGATATTTATAGTGTTGGATATTCCCCCCCTCCCCGGTGCCTTCCCCACTACCTCTCTTTAGACTATGTTCGGATGATCTTGTGGGTTGAGTTAGGTTTTAATAACTACTTGTATTGGTTTTTAGCTTAGATTTTAAAATTTGTTGAAGTTTGAAGTATATAACCCTTTGGGTTTGATGTGAATGTAAGGGACTGGGTCCTCCTGTTATGATCTGGTCATTGACCGTAATAAACTGTACTTACTTACTTACTACATGGCTCTCATGTCTCCTCTTAATCTGAGGCTAAATAGACCTGCTTTTTAAGATGCTCCTCATAGGGATTCATGGTCTCCAGACCTTTGATCATTTTAGTTGCTCTCCTCTAGACACCTTCCAGCTTTCCAATATCTTTTTAAAACTGTGGTGCCCAGAATTGGACACAGTAATTCTTTTGCTAGCAGATTTGTTTTGTTTGGTTTTTTTTTTAATTTGCGTGATGCACAAGCCATTTCTCTTCAGAGGATGCCTTGCGCGTGTGTCATGTCTTGACTGAGGCTTGTCTTCTGCAGGCAAATTTGAGCCGCCTTTATTCCACCCGAATGTCTACCCTTCAGGCACCGTGTGTCTGTCCATCCTAGAAGAGGATAAGGACTGGAGGCCTGCCATCACAATTAAACAGGTAGGCACCTCTCTGTCATTGTTAGGCCTGAGGCTCTGCAGCCACGGATCCATTGCTTTGGCCGGATATGGGAAGGCTCTGCAGGCTGGGTTTTAATTGGCATTTTACCTGTGTGTATGTTTTATGCTTTATCTCATTGTTTATACCACGTTGTATCCCACCTCAAACTACAAGGAGAGGTGAGTAGTAAGGAAATTATTATTGTTGTTTATTATTTTTATTTTATCTTACTATATTTATTATTACCCAAGTCTAATGCACCCCGCAATTTTCAAAACCCTAAAACAAAAAAGTATTTGCTGCCTATAGTGCACAATTGCAAAAAGTCTACTCTTGTAATTTATGCAGAAAAGGTGCGCATTACATTTGCTGCCTGCCTAAGATTCCTTCTTCAAAAACAAAAGTGTTAGAGCACCAAAGTTTCCAGCAAAGAAAAAGGAATCCTTAGGTGTGTCTATGCTGTAAAATGAATCCAATTTAATTGGCTTGGTTCAATGCTATGGAATCACGAGGGCAGTAGTTTTACAAGGTCTTAGGCCTTCTGCGACAAATAGTGTTGATGCTTTGTCAAACTACACATCCCAGGATTGCATAGCAGTGAGCCATGGCAATTGAATTAGACATGGAGTCCCTCAAATAGGAGCTCCAGGTGCAACTCCTGAAACATCTTCCCCTTTGGCTTTGGCTCATCACTATGATTGTAAGATGGAAATCTAATGCACACCCTAATTTTGATGACATCATTTCACCAAAAGTGATCATTAGACCCGAGTAAGTAGGGTATTATTTACTACTATTATTTAATATTATATTATATTTTACTATAGTTTATTATTACTGTTGTTATTATTATTGGGAAGGTTGCTCCATGGGCACCTGCAAGTCCCTCTGAACTGGACCTTTTGCCCAACTGTTTCTTCGGATGCCTCAAACATCAGATCAGAGGAAACAGCTTGATAACAAAGAAATATTTTGCAAAATAAAAAGGGAAAAGGAGAAAAAAAGACCTTGAAGCCTAGCTGGTTCTAATTTTCATATGGGCTTTGATGGACAGGAACCACCTCAGGTGCTCACCGCAGTCCTTTGGAAACTTTGGGTGAAGGTCATGATTTGGGCCTTTCTTGATTGTATCCTACTCCCTCAATTGGGTAATGTTTTTTATATTTGAGCATTCATTCATGATCACTCTGGTGCATCCATAAAAGCTCATGCAAAAATAAAAACCAGATAGGCTTGACCCAGGAGTTGGGAATGGTTTTCCAATGGCCCAGCGTTGTCTTGGGCCTTGGCCACATTGACTGTGTTTTGTTGTCTGGGCATTTTCATTGGATGGAGACCCTCTGGCAAAAACTGGACCTGTCTTCCCTTTTCCAACTGTAAACCCAGAGTCCATGAATGGTAGTCTTATTAAGAGGTTGCTGAATTATTGCAAGTCAACTGCACCCAGAATCACCTGGCAAAAGCATTGTGGAAGATTTGTAATAGCTGTCCCTTTTAGTGCCTGCTTTGAGAAGTGACTGAGAAATCAGGTATTTTGGTATTTCACCTCAGATTGTTGTCAGGGCATTGCTTGAGCCCAAGATTCTTTAATTTTGGAGCAAAAGTGTGCAGGATTGTGTCGCAGCTGTCCAGCTATTTACAGAACGCAGAGCTTTGGCAGAGCAGCCTCGCAGAGCAAAGGGGAAAGGGACCCAGATGTCCTGATTGGAATAGCAGTTCTACGGGTTTGATATAAATTTTGGATTTGTAATCTCAGGTTTAAACTTGACACACTTTTATTTCTTTAAGGCAGCAAAGCAAATAAGATTAAATAGAAGGACATCATACTTTAGTCCTTTGCAGTAAACAAAGAATTAAAATGATGACTGGCATCCTGTTAGTGATGTACCTTGGTATAAATGTAATTTAATGCTATTGTAAGTCTCCTTTGTGTGACTTTTGGGGAGCCCCTGGCACAGATCAAGCAAGGGGCAGGAAGGGTCACCTCTTGTTTTGAAGGGGAGGTCATGGTTCTGTGCCTGGCTTCCAGGGAAACTTTCTGTGCCGCTCCTCCAGTGCAGGATCGTGGCCATTTCTGATGGCCCCAGCTGACGCCTCCTTTCTTTCTGTGCCCCTAGATCTTGTTAGGCATCCAAGAGCTTCTAAATGAACCAAATATCCAAGACCCAGCTCAAGCAGAGGCTTACACAATCTACTGGTGAGTATCCTCTCAGACCAGGCCTTCCCTGAATGGTCTTCCTCTGGGCCAAAGCAGACCTGGAACAATAGCCTCATCTGCTCTTCTGTCAAATGTTATAAGAATTATAAGTAGTTGAATGATTGTAGTTTGGAGAATTGAGAGATGAAAGGAGAGCCACTTTCAGATGCAAAGGGGGTGTTGGAGCGAGGTTTCCAAGATAAGTCCCAGGGAGAACCGAGGGCTGTTGGTCCCTAACTCAGGGTCACCCAATCCCTGGATTTCCTTGGAGAGTTATCTAGGCAGTGTCTGCCTTTGCCTGCCTCTGAGGCTGAGAGAGTGGCATCTGCCCAAGAGCACCCAGTGCCTTTGCACTGCCATGTAGAAGTTCATAGATTGCATTGACACAGTGGTAGAGCATTGACCTTTCAAAACATCTGTATCAAGTCTGTCCCTTGGCCCTCTAAGATGTTTGATGCTCAATGTCTGGTGATCTTGTAGTGAAGGAAAGGGTACATTCAGGGCTCTGAATAGGTCAGAAGGGGCTGTTCTGTAGCCTCTCATGTGCTGTTTGGACTTTCCCCACTGAATAACAGCAGGGCATCGGCAGTGGGGCTGTGGCCATTTTTGTACTCCTCTCATAAGATCCGCAGAGCTGTTTGGGACTGATTCCCTTCTTTCTCTGATGGCCTTAAGATAATTTAAAAACTATGATGACATGGAGGTCTCTGGGATTCAGCTCTTCCCTCCTTAGAGCATTTCAGATTTTGTCAACTGCCTTAAGGCCTTTGGAGGAGCGAGAATCTTCCCCCCTCCTTTCTCTGAAGCAAAACAGTTTTGAAATGAAGCTAGTCTCCATTTCCGGTCTGGCAGACCTTCCTTGTTGCCGCTCTGGCTTTTGGAAGCCAAGTCACCCTTCTCTCTTTGTGCAGCCAAAACAGAGTGGAATACGAAAAGAGGGTCCGAGCACAAGCCAAGAAGTTTGCACCGTCATAAGCTCCCATCGCCGTCGTCACCCAGCATCTTTCAAGGAAGGGATTAATTGGCAAGAACTTGTTTACAAAACTTTTGCAAATCTAATGTCGCTATGTACCACCATTAATAGTCACTTAGGGGAGGGGGTTGTCTGTGTGCCATTTTCCATATCCGCCACTTGTATACAGTTCTAAATTTGCTGAATTGCCCCCCGTTTTTCATACAGGGTCTCTTCCTTCAGTCTTTTGTATTTTTGATTGTTATGTAAAACTTGCTTTTATTTTAATATTGATGTCAGTATTTCAACTGCTGTAAAACTATAAACTTTTATACTTCTATAAATTCACTAGTATCTCTAGTTTCTTTGCTCTCTGATGCAGGCATGCGTTGAAACTGTCTAGAAGACTATTTTGCCTCGACTTGGCTGTAAGAATGAAATAAGCCCTCCGCCCCCTTTTTGTCTTTTACCAGTAATAAATTAGGTTGTTGTTGCTTAAAAGCCTCAGATCCAAAGTCAGCCAGCATCTTGATTCTGCATCACTTCCTTTGTGTTTATGGCGTTTTGTCTGTGTTGCTGTTTAGAGTAAATAAACTGTTTCTATAAAGCCTGTTGTCTCCTTTTCTCCCTTTTGCAATGTAATAGCCCGTCTGCCATTGCACTCTGTTCAAAAGAAATTCCGAGTCTCTTTTTAGAGACAAAAAGCAGGGTATAAATGATAATGTAAAAAAGAATAACACATTACGATTAGCGAAAGGAGAATTGAAAGACCTTTTTGATTGAAACCACCCAACGTTCCAAGATTGTGGTTGAGCCATTAAATAAAACACATGACTAAAATCAGAATAATGTAGAAAAGAATTGACAGCACTGTATATTTGTAATGCGATGTAAGTGATTGAAGGGTTGGAGTATAGATCTGGGAATAGATGATGCGATAAGATAAACGTATTAGGTTGTAAATGTTTTGAGATTTTAAAATATTTAATATTTAAATAAATTCATATTAAAATAATAATAAAAACAAGCACAAACGATTATTTTTACAGTTTACGTTAGGCAGTTCATATTGTACAAACTTGACATTTTTATAATATTTTCAAAGGAATATATAAAACTGTTCTGAATGAAGGTGTTTGTAAATGGCTTTAACTTCTCCAGACAAGGTAGGTACTATAGAGGTTTCACCAGGGTTGTGACCAGTACACTGTCAAAGAGGAAGAATGGTTGAAACCCACGCCCTTTTCAGGCACCCAAGCTATTTGGTATCCCTGAATGGCGAAGAGTTCTTTCTTTTTAAATGTCTTCTGCTGCTCCTCCAGTTGCAGCTTGTGGCCCATCTGCCATCCTGGGAAGGGCCCCAGGTGCATCCAGCTCCTCTTGACTGCTGCTGCTCTTTCCGTCCTCATCTCCTGATGTTTCCTCTGCTGAACTGTCATCTTCTTGAATCGCTCTACAATCAGATCAAGATTAATTCATGCTCAGCACTGCCCTAGAAGACACTGAAAGGGGAAGTTTAGAGGACTTACTTTGAGACGCCGATGGGCCTGTTGGGATTAGCAAACTCCTTTCCAGAGTCAACGTCAAAGGGATCTGAAAGCAAAGAATCCAGGGCTGTGAGGTGAAGCCTTTCCGGGCTGAAGGAGCAAGATGTAGAAGCAGCCATGTGTAGAGGTAAGAAAAGAAGCTGCAGGTGCCCTCACCTATGTCGTCTTCCTCCTTTTCTTGCGCATGGAGCAGGAACTCCCTCTCCACTGCCAGCACCTCCTCTTCCCCAGCGCACGCTGCATATCTCTCCAGGAGGTCTTTGTTGAGGTCCAGGAAGACGGGCCCCCACTTAAATTGCTCCAGGAGCTCCATGGCAAGTTCCGGGAACCCTGGAACGGAAGGAGGGGAGGCTGGTGGCTTGTTCTAAGCAACACAGTTCTAGGCTGCCAGGCCAGCACTCCTGCCATTTTCCACAGCGGGAATCCCCCCCCCCCTTTCCTTTGTAGGGCCAGGACTCACCCACAACGACAAGAGTAGCAGCCAAAGCCTCTGCACAGGACAGCCTCCAGGGCCGGCCATAGTTTACGGGGTTGGCGGCCACCAAGTAGGGCAGCAGCCGCAGGCAGCCCCCCTTCATCTTGGTGAAGGGAGTCTCTTCCAGCTTGGCCCAGGAGCAATCGATCACAGCTGCCCCGCCCTGTGCCACTATCGGCCTGCAAAGAGAGGGAGGGAGAGGCAGTGATGATGGGGCCCCAGGCTCTCCCACAAGAGAGGAGGGCAGAGCAAGCAGCAGTCCTCAAGGGACCTGGCTCTCCTCTTTGCCCACAAGCCATGCTTTCCTTGCACTCCCCAAAAATGCGGAGAGAGCTTTGGGAAGCAAAGCCGGAAATGTACAATTGAGAAGCAAGAACATCCTGCTGAGGAGGAGCTCCTTCCGCTCCCCTCACTTGTCATGCAGGCAAGCTTCTCTTCCCTCCCTCTTTCCTTCACATTTTCTTCCCTCCCTCCCTCCTTTCTGCTCTCCTTCCATCCTTCCCTTTCCTCCCTTCTTTTCTCCTTCCTTCTCCCTCTCCTTCCTTTGTTCCTCTCCCCTCACTTGTCATGCATACAAGCTGGCCTTCCTCTTTCCTTCATATTTCCCTCCTTCCTTTCCGCTCTCCTTCCATCCTTCTCTTTCCTCCCTTCTTTCCTTCTGGTCCTCTCTCCTTCCTTCCTTCCTTCCTTCTTTCTTTCTCCCTCCCCTTCCTTTGTTTATCTCCCTTCTCTTGTGATGCATACATGCTGGCCTTCCTTCCCTCCCTTCCCTCCCTCTCGCTTTGCCCCGCTCCTTTCCCGACCTGTCTGCGGGGGAGAGGCGCCGGTGGGCGGCGGGGCTGAGGACGAGGCCCGGGAAGCGCTTTCCGACCCGCAGCGCCCGCACCAGGCCCTTCCTGGCCAGCCTCCGCCCCGTGCAGCGCCGCGGGTCGCACTGGCCCAGCTCCCAGAGGCCTAGAGGCGGAGGGCGAGGCCCGACCCCGGAGGCACAGGCCGAGGCCGAGCCCGCCCCTCCCTCCGCTGGCTGCAGCAGCTCCTCCTCCTCCAGGGCCCCTGCGGGAGAGACAGAGAGGGCGGCGGGCCCGTGTCAGGCAGGCCCGGTCTTCTTCCCCCTCCTCCTCCCCCCCCCGCTCCCCCCGCCCCTCCCCCTTCCTCCCCAGACCTGCCAGCGCCGCAGCGAAGCTCTCCAGAGCCGGCCCCCCGCCTCCTCTTCGGCCCCGCGGACGCCGCTTCCGGCCCATCTCGGCCTCTCCTGCCACTCTCCCCGCGCCCCCTCGCCTCTGTCCCGCTTCCGGGACGCACCGGAAGAGCCCCTGGAGCCACTTCCGGCGGGGCAAGATGGCGGCGAAGAGAATGGGAGCTTCACCTCGTCTCTTCCTCTTTTTCTCGCTTTGTCTCTCCGGAGGTAAGGCCCCCTTCGCGGCCCGGGCCTTCATCCCGCTCACCGCCACCTCCCCCCCCCTCTCTCTCTCTCTCTCTCTCTCTCTCTTGTAGGTCCCGCCTCCGGAGGGAAGATGAAGGTGGTCGAGGAGCCCAACAGCTTCGGGTAAAGAGAGAGATGGAGGGAAGAAGGAGAGGAACACAAGAAGGAGGGAAGAGAGGGAGGGAGGGGTTGTTTTGAAGGAAAGCATGACCTTTAAGAGATCATAAAAGGTCTTTCTTTGGAGGCTTTTAAGCAGGGATGCTTTGAATGCGATTGTCCTGCTTCTTGGTAGGGGTTGGACTGGATGGCCCCCGAGGTCTTTCCAACTCTAGGATTCTACAATAACTTTTTAGAGAAAAGCCAAAAACCAGTTTGAGTAGAATCTTCTCAAGTGGTATACAACCAAATGTAATTATGCAAGGCAATTGGCGTCAGTTGTTAGACTGAACAACCCGTTGCCTCTCATCTGTTAGGAAATAGAGATTTGGCAGTGCATAAAAGCAGCAGAATTCCAGACATGTTTTGCATTGCCCTATATATATATATATATAGACTGAAAAACATAGGGCACTGAAAAACATGTCTGAAACTCTGACATATATATAGGGCACTGAAAAACATGTCTGAAACTCTGACATATATATATATATATATATATATATATATATATATATCAGAGTTTCAGACATGTTTTTCAGTCATATATATATATATGTCAGAGTTTCAGACATGTTTTTCAGTGCCATATATATATATATATAGGGCAATGCAAAACATGTCTGGAATTCTGCTGCTTTTATGCACTGCTTTTAGTGCCATCCATATATATATATATATATATATATATATATGTCTGAAACTCTGACATATATATATATATGACTGAAAAACATGTCTGAAACTCTGACATATATATATAGGGCACTGAAAAACATGTCTGAAACTCTGCTGCTTTTATATATATTTACAACAACTCAGAGCGGTTTAGGTAGGTAAAGGTTTTCCCCTGACATTAAGTCCAGTTGTGTCTGACTCTGGGGGTGATGCTCATCTCCATTTCTAAGCTGAAGAGCCGGCGTTGTGCATAGACACCTCCTAGGTCATATAGCTGGCATGACTGCAAGGAGCACCGTTACTTTCCCACCTGAGCGGTACCTATTGATCTACTCACATTTGCATGTTTTTGAACTGCTAGGTTGGCAGAAGCTGGGGCTGACAAGCGGGTGCTCACCCCGCTCCCCAGATTTGAACCTGTGACCTTTCGGTCAACAAGTTCAGCAGCTCAGTGCTTTACCCCACTACGCCACCGAGGGCTCCTCAGAGCAGCTTACAAGTTATATATACATACAATACATTATATTATTAGTATAGTACAATATCAGTGTTATATATTACTATATTGTACTATTCCATTGTATTGTAAAATTATTAGTAATATTACATGTAATATAAAACATAGAATTATAATATATTTGTTTTATATATATATATATATATATATATATATATTCTCCCATAAAAGAATTTGTTTTATATCATAGAATCATAAGGTGCAAGTTTAAAATTCATCATTCAAATGGTCTTTCTTCCTCTAGGCTCAACAACCCCTTCCTGCCTCCATCAAACCGCCTCCAGCCCAAGGCCTCCCCAGCACCCCCTGCAGGTGAGAACCCCACCCACCCCTTCCTCACTTCTTCGTTCTCTCTTTTGTCTTCTAGCTCTCCTTCCTTCCCTCTTGTCACCTCACTCGCTTAAAAGGTGCAACTTTATAGCAAGCATGGACTAACTTCAGCTCTCCCCCCAGGTATTTTGGACTTCAGCTCCCACAATTCCTAACAGCTGGTAGCCTGTTAGGAATTGTGGGAGTGGAAGTCCAAAACACCCTGAGGAAGGGCTGAAGTTGGCCTTTGTCTGCTTTAGAGACAGAGAGAGCCAAGTAACCAGACATTTCTTGCTCTCAGAAAAAAAAACCTTTATTATACTTTCCTACCTTTCTGGGGGCATCACACAATCCTTGTCAGGCTCAGTTGGTTAAAATCAGGCAATTTCACAGCATGGTCCATATCCTCAGCCCTTTGTCCAATCCTTATCAGTAGGAAGTCTTCATCGTAAACTCACCAGTGGAGCAGGGGAAGGTCCAGCAAGTCTTATCAAGGCCACTTGTGTCTAGCAGGGTGGGTCATGAGGTGCTTACACTCCATCTCTCTTGGTCTCCTTCTTTATCTCCCTCTTGTCTCCTTCTTTTCTCATCTCTCTTCTGTTCTTCTTCCCCTCTCCTTCCCTTCTGTCCTTCCTCTTCTCCCTCCTCTGTCTCCTTCCTTTTCTCCCTCCCTTCACTTCTCTAGCCTTCCTCACCATCCTTTCTCCCTTCGCTCTCTGCTCTGCTCCTCCTTTTCCCATCAGTTCTTGAGCCTTTCTCTCTCTCCTCTATTCTAGGCCCCTCACATCTCTTCCGACTGGCAGGGAAATGCTTCAGTTTTGTGGAATCCATGTAAGTCCATCACTTGGAGGCTCTAGGCGCAATCCCCACTGGACAGTCCCATAACCCTTTCTGGCCTCTCTATCTCCCTCTCCCCACAACAGGTACAAGTACGAGTTCTGTCCCTTCCGCAATGTCACACAACACGAGCAGACTTTCCGGTGGAATGCCTACAGTGGGATCCTGGGGTAAGAGCCATGTGCCTGTGGGTGCAGTTAAGCTTGGCAGGAAAGGGCTTCCCAGAGGATGTGGTTGGGTCCCGCCACTTGCCCGTAATGGGAAAAATTACCTTTTGATCTATGTATATTCGGAGAACCTCCTCTGAGAGATTTTGCTTCCCTCTAGAATCTGGCGCGAATGGGAAATCGAGAACAAGACTTTTGCGGGGATGTGGATGAGAGATGGTGACTCCTGCGGAACCAAGAACAGAGAGACCAAGGTCAGCAAGAGGGCTGAGTGAGAGACCTGTGCTCCTTGGGTGCCGGCCTCTCTGTTTCTTCTGTAACGGCTCCCCTTCTTCGCCTGCCTTTCAGGTGCATCTTGTCTGTGGGAAGAGCCACCGCTTGGCTCAGGTCTCTGAACCCAGCACCTGCCTTTATGCGCTTACCTTCGAGACACCGTTGGTCTGCCATCCGCACTCCCTCTTAGGTAGGAAGAATGCATGCCTCCGGAGCAGTGCCTTCAGGCCTGTATCTGAGCTCCAGCAGGAGCAGGGGTCTGTTGGGTCTTAAAGGGCTGAATTGTAGGTGTCCTGCAGCACATTTTGCTCTAGTTTTCCAATGAATATCTCATAGAATCTCAACCAATTCAACTTAGTTTGTGGCAACCACAAAAACAAAAGTTTCTGGAGTATAACAACTGCTTTCAAAATAAGGACCATACAATTAAACAGGAAACAGCACCTACAGTCCAGGAACAGATTTTTTTTTCACATCTTGTTACATAGTGTTGTTGTTGTTATTTATATCCCACCTTTTCCCTCTAAAAAAGAGACTAGAAAGCAACGTGCAGTAAAACCAATGCGATGCAATTTAACAACTAAAAGTATACAACTAATAATAATATAATAATAATAATAAACCTTATTTATACCCCACCACCACCTCCCCAATGGGGACTTGGAGCAGCTTACATGGGGCCAAGCCCAGACAACATATTAAAACAAAATATAACCAGAGCATAAACAATAAACAACATCATCAAATTACATCAAGAAAAAAGAAAAAAATTATAAACACAGACATAAAATAACATTCCAATAAGCACAATCACTATTATTACTATTTGTATCCCGCTTTCTCTCTCTAAAAATAGACTAAAAGCGGCTCACAATAAAAAGCAATACAACACAATTTAAAACCTAAAGATTTACAATTATTATTGTTTGCATCCCACTTTTTCTCTCTAATAAAACCAATGAGATACAATTTAAAATCTAAAAATATACCACTATTATTATTAAAAAGAGACTCAAAGCAGGACATAATAAAACCAAAGCGGCTCACTATAAAACCAATGCAATACAATTAAAACCTTAAAATATGCAAACAATGGAATTAAATATGAACAATGGAATTAAATATGAACAGTATTACAAATAAACAATTAAAACACATTTATCTAATTAAAACCTCAGCATCCCCTCCTTCAGACCCTTCAGGCTGCCACTTTCTCCCTAAAACTGGAAGCCAATGAAAAGTGGCCTCTGGAGCAACAAAGCCTAGGGTTGCCATGGAGGTCCAGGTCCAGTAAGTGACTTCTCCTCTTTTTCCTCTTCCTTCCCATTGCAGTGTATCCTGCTTTGCCTAAAGACCTCCAGTGGAAGTGGGACAGAGTGGAGCAGGCGCTGTATGACGAGCTCATCACGGAGCAGGTGTGTCCTCCTTCCCTTTGGGGAACACAGCGGAGGCCCTGGACCACAGGAGCCCCACATTCCCTTCGGTTCAGAGGGATCATAGAATCCTTGACGAAAGGGATCCCCAGGGGCCATCCAGACTACCTCCTTCTGCTTTCAGCTGGGAAAGTGCAATCTGATCCCACCCAACAGATGGCCACCCAGCCTCATAGGCATTAGTGGTTTTATGGAGAAATAGGGATGAAGAATCATAGAATCCTGCAGTTGGAAGAAACCCCAGGGGCCATCCAGTCCAAACCTCTTTTGCCATAAAGGAAAAATTAAATTTAAAGCTCTCCTGACAGATGGCCATCCAGTCACATTGACGCAGATAATTGTTATTGAAATATTGGAGTTGTTTTTATTACTCCCCTCATACAAAAGATACCTGATAGAAATGATGACTACTATCTAAAGCATCTCCTAGACCAGGGGTACCCAAACTTTTTAATCAGAGGGCCAGGTCACAGTCCCTCAAACTGTCATAGACAATAGGGAACCATCGCGCACTCTTAGGGTGGCTAAGTTTTGTGCTGCTACTATAAACATAAGGAGGACGATTGTGGATAATAGTGGATGATTTTAATGGACATTTTAGTGTCTATACCCACAGATTTTATAAGAGCCAATCCAGATGTCTGTGTTGGGGACTTTCTGCTTTTAAGGTTTTGCATCATTGATCTTAATGTTAATATATTTTTTAATAAACCCCCTCTGATTTAAATGTTTTAGGGCCTTGTATTACAGATCTGTGACCATCACAATAAAATTCATTCACTTTTGAGTCTTGTAGTCCAACTACATATATTTTTAAATAATGTTACTGTAACAAACTGAACAGTCAAGATGCCCATATCCCCTTGGCCTGTTGGTCATCATTGCCCTCACCTTCTCCTCTTCAAGGGATACAAGAAGCGGCTGAGAGAGATCTTTGAAGACGCTGGCTTCTATCAAGCAGCAAGAGAGATAGACGGGAAGAAAACCGAATCCCCAGAGACAGCGTTTGACTCCTTGGACAAGTGCAACCAGGTACATTACCTTTAAGGTCTGATAGCTGCCTTCTGGACCTTGAGAGAAACTGCCTGGGATTCAACACTCTTTGTCTTCTCTAGGAGTCCAAGAAACTCTCTGAAGATCTGCAGAAACTTAAGGATTTATTGACCCAGCATGGAGTGGCCTATGAAGCAGCCCTAGGTAGGTCTGACAGATTTCCCCCCACTTCTTAAAGGAACATGCTATTTGGAAATAGAGTTGGTTAACAACAGCTATAATAAAAATAACATCATCATTAGTTTTCTGTCTCCAAACTGAACTGGAAAGTGTCTTCTGTCTGAAGCCTCTGTCGGTTTCCTGTATGGGTTTAGATAGACCTGTTCTGCTGTTTTTCCTTTGTTTCCTCAATATTTTTAGTTTAAAATTTTGACAGAAAAAGCCACAAATCAACAACAACCATAATTATACATATATAAACACATACATGCCTGGCAATTACATATCAAACTATATAACATCAATTTCTGCTCTGATCACACCTGAGTCTAAATTACAAACATATTCATATATACATATGAGTTTCTTTCCTTTTTATGGTATTTTTCTTGCACCTTATGTCTCACATATAGCTTCCTTCTTCTTATTGTTACATTAACACATTTCTTAACAGCTTATATTTCCAAACCGCTTTGAGCCTTGGGTAATAAATTATTATTATTATTATTACTAATAATAATAATGCCTTTCCCTTTTCCTCAGATAAATATTGGTTAAAAGGTTTATGTTATTCTAGGAAGGTATCTAGTGAGTTATCCTTCAACTTGTCCATTTCTATACCACATCTTCACTGTTCAGTTGGTATATCTGCTGTTTTCCATTCTCTTACTGCTGATCGCATCTTTTGCTGCAACATTCTTTCATGTTCTTTTCTATTCAGTCGTCCAACATTCCTAGTTATACCCGTTCTTCTTGAAGTGGGTTTCTGTCTCAAGGATCCCCCTCTTTTTCTGTGTTGCAGCTGAAGGCGGTGATGGAAAGCAGGCCCTGGAAAGGCTCCCGGCAGAAGCGTCTCCTCCTGCCCTTCCCTCAAAGGCCAGTCACCAGGCCCTGCGCGGAGACCCTGGAACAATTAATGGCTCCCTGTGGAAGGGACGGGACTGAGAGGTAGGTCCCTGCTCATCCTCCCTTACCGTATGCTTGTGGCTCAAGGAGGGGCTCACAGTGCTCTTCGCACAGGCTGAACTACAACTCCCAATTCCCACCTCCCCCCCCAAAAAAAAACCTGTCATGAATACTTTTCAAAATTTAAAAAGCATTAAAGGGTTCTTTTATTTCATTTGCATCGAGACAAGAGTATCCCGCAGAGCGATATAGAGAAAGAAAGTAGACACACAGGCTCTGAAGCTACATTGGATACACAAACAAGGGGAATTGCATTTTACTCAGCATTCACAACCATAAACATCACTCATTATCATTCATACATTACCAGCCCTTCTTCCTTCTCCTGGAAAAAAGATCCCGAAGTAGGCCAGATTGCATTTCCAGCAAATCTGCCATTCTGCAAATACATCATCTTCCTCCATACCTTGGAAAAGATGACGGGTGGACAAGACTCCTCTGGTCTACCACAATTTTGGAATAGTAGTGTCTCTTATATAGCATATTTCTTGCTGATGCTGTTCCAAAATGTTAATGAATGACAGGTGTTTTCCCAAACTCAAACTTCCTGGCTCCATCAGATATTAGCTTTTCCTTAACCGATGTAGCTTTTCTTTCTTAAGGAGCATTGTGTTTGCATCCTTTAAAAAGCCATTTTCGCTGGTAATGCAAATATGTTGTTTTCCACCAAGAGTTAATCATTCGGTTCATGTCAGCAGTTCTCTTCAGCAACTTTTAGTTACAGTTCATGAATTTTCCTTTTATAGTTTTGCAGGTTTTGTTTCTTAGGATGGCATCTCCAAGCCCCGGCCATATATCTTTCATACAATTTCATTCAAATCTAACATAATGTATTAATGGCAAACCCCTTCATTATTTTCTGCTGTTCAATGGAACAGCCATCTTGGAAATTGCATACATAGATAAAAATATAAAAAGGTAAAGGTAAAGGCTTCCCCTGACATTAAGTCTAGTCGTATCCAACTGGGGTTGGTGCTCATCTCTATTTCTAAGCCAATGAGCTGGCATTGTCTGTAGATGCCCCCAAGGCCATGTGGCTGGCATGACTGCATGGAGCGCCGTTACCTTCCTGCCAAAGTGGTACCTATTGATCTACTCACATTTGCACGTTTAATTTTACTTATATATATATATATATATATATATATATATATATATAGATATAGTGTGTGTGCATATATATATTCATGTTTATGATATTACATAATATACATTATCATATCATATAGACATCTTATATATTTTATATGTAAAGGGGGAAAGGCCATGTGCTGACCTGACAACTCATCCTTTTCCAGGACACTTGCACCCCAAAAGAAGAACCGGGATCACAGATGAGAGAGAGCTGATTGACCAAACCTCACAAAATGATTGTTGACAGGTAGAAATGTTGGATGTTACTGTTAGGCAGAAGACATGAAATGCAGAGGGGTGACCCACAGCTCAACAACAGTCCTGTCTGTGAAAGGGATCTGGGAGGATCAGTTTGCCACAAGCTGAACATGAGCCAACAATGTGATGTAGCAGCGGAAAATACAATTCTGGGCTGTATCAAAAGGAATCTAGTGTTTAGATGACGGGAAGTCCTGGTGCTCCTTTGTTCTATTTTGGCCAGACCTCTTCACCTGGAATGACAACCCTGTTTCTGAGCAAAGCAATTAAGAGGTATGTTGAGTCTGAGCTGGAAGGGGTCCAGAGGAGGGTGGCTAAAAGGATTCAAGGCCTGGAAGCCAGGAATCATCTCTCTTGAGGAGGAACAGCTTAAAGAGCTGGGTCTGTTGAACTTTGAGAAGAGAAGGCTGAGAGAAAGGGACAGGAGAGGAACTATGTCTAAGCATTAGAAGGGCTGTCCTATGGAAGAAGGACCCGGCTACCTTTCTGCTCTGGAGACTAGGCCTCAATGGAGCCAAGGGTTCAAATCCTAGAAAATGAGATTCCTCTGAAAGATTAGGAAGACCTAACCAGAAGAAGATCTGTTCGACTGTGGAACCCTCTGCCTCAGTCCAGGGGAGATTTCCTCCTTCTCCAGACATTGAAGCAGTGGCTGGATGGCCATCTGTCGGGAGTGAACAACAGACCTCTGAGGATGCCTGCCCTAGATGTGGGCAAAACCTCAGGAGAGAATGCTTCTGGAACATGGCCATACAGTCCAGAAAACTCACAGAAACGAGAGATATCTACATTCCCCAAATCCTGACCCAGCATTAGATATAGCCTGAAGGCCATAAAGGTTGGACACCATTCCAAAAGCTTTTGACTCATTATGTAAGACCACTTTTTTTAAAAAAGATTTTAATTTATGAATATTTTTCAGCATTACAAATAATTAGGAATATTTAACTTCTATGTTGTTTGGCTGAGCTGCTGCTGAAGAGAGGAAGGACTGCCTGTTCCCAACTTTCGTCCCACCGCAGCTGCCGGGCCGAGCGCAGGTTTCTTCGGAATAAGCTCAGTTTGCCCTCCACAGCAGGGAATTCCCAGAACAGCATCTGCAATGTTATATACAGAGAATGTGAGAAAAGATTAGCAGGACCCAAGGCAGAATGGAAATGTTGCATTTCAAACTTTGCATCCTATACCAGCAACTATTGAAAACTGGTGAACAGAATTGTTCTTTTAAAATAAAGGTGTCTTAAATTAAACTGCCTTGTTTATTCTCATGTAGTAGTTCAATTGTCTCGCCACGTTTTGTGGAAGTCTGTCTGCAATAGGCATTTAATGGTCAGGCTATTGGCTTACAAAAAAGAAAAGAACAATTAAAAACACACACTGGACTCATAAAAGTAACAATGTGTAATTGCAAGATTAGAATATAAAGCAATGGATGCATATGACTAGAGGAAAGATCCCACCTAAACACCAGGAAGAACTTTGCTACTCAAAGAGCTGTTCAAAAGCCCTGGAGTGTGGTGGAGGCTCCTTCTTTGGAGGCTTTTGAGCAGAGGCTGGATGGCCATCTGTCAGGAGTGCTTTGAATGTGATTTTTCTGCTTCTTGCCAGGGGACATGATTGGATGGCCCACGAGGTCTCTTCCAACTCTATGATTCTATAAAAAGTGGAATATATTGCCTTGGTGGACTCTCCATCTTTAGATAGAGGTTGGATGGGCATATTGAAGAAGTGCTGTAATTATGCACTTGATTCTAAGACATGCTCTTAAGGCGCTGTTACCTTCAGTTGCTCTGCAAGTTCACTCGAGTCCTTGAACACCAAACCATTCACTTCATGCTTCACAAGCTCATGTAAACTACAGTGAAACAAACACAGGACAGGCAGATGTTTACTGGCAAGAATCAATTCAGGGAAGGCATTCTTTCCTTAGCTTTGCCCATTCTCAGGTAAAATGTGTGTGGAGTAAGCCAGCTATGAATCTGAAGTCCCTTCAGGCCCTCTATCATGTAAGTCACATCTCTGCACATTGCGCAGCCTGAAAGAGACCCAACACTTGCTGGAGAATTAACCATTTCACCTGCTTTCGCGCTGTTTTAATGACTCCCCAATTACATTTGCATGCCCCTTTTCTCCTTGGCGTACAGTGACTAAAGACCACACGCTGTCTCCTTTAAAGTAGGGTAGTTTAAGAAATTATTGATCTCTTAGTTCTTACTCAGTGTGTGTTAGAATGTCAAGCTGTTGGTGTCTTTTGTGTTCGTTTGCACGAGGCTCCAGCTAACCGCAGGGGATCCCTCTTCCTTTGTTTCACCGACCAAATTTTTAACAACACTTACCACTGGAAGTGGACTGCACAGACAGGCAGGCAGCAGCCAAACATGTCCACCACCTTCATTGGCAGATCCAACCCACTGGAAGACTTATGGAGGCAAACGCCCAAGTCTGCTGAACCTGCAAGAGTGAATCACATTCATTCTGCAAAGACGTCTCCTTACAACAGGATGCCAGCTCTCTAAAAGTAACTGCATTTCATCCAGGCTTCTCCCGGAATGAATCAAGGAGGTCTGGGACTTTTACGATGAGGCCTACCCAAGAGGAGTTTGCATTGCACAGGGATTGTAGAACAAGCTCTAACAAAGCATCCACTTTCATGGCCAAGAGCTCAAGCCATTGCACAGAAGGATTGGGAGTTTCACTTTTTTGTGACCATTGCCTTCAAGGAAAGGGAAAGGGGGGGGGGGAAATGAAAACAATACAGGGACAAAGTTTCCCTTCTACCTTAAGAGAGACCACCAGGCAGAAGTTTAAACAAAGGCAGATCTATAAGGGACTGGATTTAATCATATGATCTACTTGTGAGAAAATGAGCTGCTACAGGTATAGGGAAGGGATGGCATTGGCCACATTGAAGTATGGAGAATTTTGGAGGAACTCCTCACCAAGCAGGACAGGGTAGTCCTCCGCTTCCAACCAGGGAGTGCAGATCTGGATATGCTTGAACTTCAGTTTTTCAATCAGCTTGTTATAATATTCCTTCAGGGGTCCTTTGCCTTTTCAGACACATAAAAATGGGACAGCGTAAGCCATAAAAGGTGACACCACATGAGTGAGGATCATTTTGTACACCCAGGGAACAGCTTAGAAAAACGACTTCTTTTCAGAATGCAACTTCCAGAATCAGTGGCAAGACTTGGGAATTGTAGGGCAGGAAAAGAACTTTGAAGAGAGAGGACATATGTCAGTTTGTCACAGCAAAAAAAAAAAATCAGAGTCTTATTGGCCTTTGAAGATCAGCACAATCTACATTTTTCTGGATGGCAGCTCACTTTATAGAATTCAAGGAATAATACCTCAATGAGCAGAAAAGTTCTTAGTAACACAGAATGTAGAAGCTTAAAGGAACATAACATTAACAATTAAAACATCTTACCTGTTATTACACAGACTAAAGGAGGCAGTTTTGTTCCACCATTGAGAGCATTTTCATAGTCTGTGGAATTAAGAGAGAAAAGTGTGTCTTACCATATTCACCATGTAACAATTCTTTAGGACAGTGACTTGTAAGAACGAAAATATGGACTGCAGCCTTACCATTGCTACACTGTTGCCTCGAAACCATGCAGCAATGAAAGCAATTAGTCTCATAAAACCCTCTTATAGTGCTGAGGCAATGGGCACATTGGGAGGGGAGAGGCTGACTACGCACAAAAGATTACTACTACCACATCAATTATTAAATCTGGTTTTCTGTGGAAGAATTCAGTGGAAACAATTACATACAAAGTTGATTACAACTTGATTCCAAAGTGAAACTAGAATAGAAAAGTACAGAAGGGAAAGAGTGAGCATTGGTTGTTAACTATTCTTTTTTCCAATTTTATATGAGCCACCCTAGAGCCAATGAAAACTTGAGGATTCCCACATTAGGAAGAAGAGCCTTTGGGTGCCCTATATTATCCCCCTGATGGAGAAAGAAGCTGTAAGTTCCAGGCAAAGCAATGAAGAGAAATCGCAATAGGACCCAAAGTAGATGCAAGGATGATCAAACAATTCATTTTTGAAATAATACAGAACACATTGTGGGAAACCTACCTTCTAAGGCTTCTAAGAGGATGGAAAAATCTTCATCCTCTAGAAAGAAAAACAGGAGAGAAATGACAAAGTTGAGTCTAAATGCATTTCAGTTAAACACTATAGAAAGAATTCCTACAAGTGTGGTTTCAGATTCTAAAAGCTTTGAGTTCAATGATGGAAGCATTCTGATTTATAAGCCAACAAATAAGCAACCCAACTGACACCCCTACAAGGTGTCCTGGAGGACTCTACAATTTGTCTTTTTAAAAATAGCTAACGCCTTAATATTAATGCAGATTCAGTATTATTCCAAATCTCTAGAAGTCTTTTGGATTTTGGAAATACCTACACTTCCACATAGGTATATGATGAGATATTTTAGAAGTGGAACCCAAGTCTGAACACATAATTGATTCGTATTTCATATATTCCTTCTACACATAGCCTGAAGTTTATTTATTTATTTACCACACTTATATCCTACCCTTCTCAACATCGAAGGGGACTCAGGGTGGCCTAACAAAGGTAGCAATACAATGCTGCACATACAGTACATCGGTAAATAAACAGACTCAATTAAAATCAAACCAATTAAAACATCAATTAAAATCACATAATCCAGAATATATTTCAGGCCAGTCCGAGTCATCATTATGTTGATTATAGTCTCTTATTGCACTGCTTTCATTATTGACCAAAAGTCTAATCCCAGAGCCATGTTTTTAGTTTTCCCCCTGAAAGTCAGGACGGAGGGAGCCAATCTAATTTCACTGGAGGGGAGTTCCATAGATGAGGTGCCACCACTGAGAAGGCCCCTTCTCTCATCCCCACCAATTGTGCTTATGAGAGGGGTGAGACCGAGAGCAGGGTCTCCCTGGACGATCTTAGCCTCTGAGGTGGTTCATAGAAGGAGATATGTTTAGGCAGGTGTAAAGAGGTCGTTAAACTGCTGCCACCAATTGTAACGATGACCGTTTTAATGCCACCGAATGTGAAGGTGCGAGTGGTAAAACACCCACTGCCACCTAATCTATGAGGGAAGCTGGGCAACGATCAATATCAGCCTAGGAACTATTTTATATAGGGACTGTTTCTGGCTGACTTTATTATTGCAGGCTGTTCAACTTAGGAGAAACTGTATCAGGCAAGGCTTGAGGAAAACAGTAACAAGTTTATTTTAACAGGAGTATAACAATGTATAACTGTTCTTCAAAAGAGGCACAAATCTTGATGGATACATTGGAAAGGTTTCATGAGTAAACTCAGGCAAACACTTCATAAGGTTTCACAGCTGGCACAGCAGGCTTAAACCCAGCCAAACCTTGATTCTTAATTTAGAATCAACAACCCCCTGTACCGGGTCCTTCTCTGCAACCACTTGGTCACCAATTGATTCCCTGAATCTCCACCAAAAGATTCAGTGTTCTCCCAGTAGCTCTCCGGCCACTGACTGACTTTTTAAAACACAGCTGCCTCTGAAGAGGCGGTTGGCTCCGCCCCTGTTGCTATGGCAACTCAGCTAACACCAAGCCACTCTCTCCAACAAAACATAATCTTACATACTTACCATCCCTAAAGTATTGTTAAAATTACACATAACCAAAGAAATAAAACTTACACATCGTCACAGCAGGTAAGCTGGGCTGGAGCCAGTACTTTGAATTGTGCTTGGTATCAGATTGGCAGCCAGTGTTGCTGATGTAACAGGAGAGTTGTATGCTTCCTGAACCCAGCTCCGGTGAGAAATCTGGCTGCTGCCCGTTGGACCACTTGGAGCTTTCAAACAGTTTTCAAAGACAACCCCACATAGAGTGAATTGCAATAGTCTATTCGGGATGTAACAAGAGCATTGAGCACCGTGGTCAAGTCTGACTTCCCAAGGTACGAGTGCAACTGGTGCAAAAGTTTTAATTGTGCAAAAGTTCCGCTGGCCACCACCGAAACCTGGGATTCCAGGATCAGTGATGAATCTGGGATCACTCCCAAGCTGTGCAGCTGTGTCTGCAGGGGGAGTGTAACCCCATGCAGGACAGGCTGTAACCCTATGCCCTGTTTGGCCTTTTGACTGACCAGGAGTACCTCTGTCTTGTTTGGATTCAATTTCAATTTGTTCGCCCTCATTCAGACCATCACAACCGCCAAGCAATGGTTAATGTACACAATATTTTTAATAGTTTTGTGCACAAAATAAAGTTTGGGGACACTTAACCATCAGAAAACAATGGGATCAGTGTCTCAGCTATGCATTCTGGATAAGGGATGTCCAACTTGTATTATACTCAATTCTATTTTGGGGTTTCATCTTATAAGTGGTCATCTATATTCCTACTAAATTAGAAAGAATTCCCAAAAGTCTCAAGGAAGATCTGCTGAAGGATGTGGAATTCCCCCATATTGCTCACAGCAGAGAAGCTCAGTTTGCATGTCACGAACCAACAATTCAAATACACCAAAGGAAAAGATAAAAAATATAGTAAAGACCTGTCCAGCTAGTGCTACTGACGAGGAGAGCCGGTCGGTCCTTTTGGAGCATCACATTCCCACTTCTGACATCAAGTTGTGTAAAAGCAGATTTCTCAACTTCACCTGGGAGATTGGACTCTGCTCTGAGAAGAAAGAGTACTTTAAAGACCAGCCTTTAAAAGAATCCATACCTGAAGCAAACACATCAGAACCGGATTGAAAATATGGCTTCATTAATCAATGAAGGGCAACCCAGACACAGGCGGCTGTAAAAGAGGAACAGACACAAGCTACTCCATTTGGGAGTCCTAACATTTCATGTATATCTTCACCCATTTATTAGTTTATTTGCCTGTCCTGCCAATGCCTGTCTGAAAAGATGCAAAATTGGAAAAGACTTGCCTATTTTCATATTATGAGCAAACCTTTCAAATTAACACAAGGCAAATGCACCAATGTGCTTTCATAGATGTTGTAGCCAAAAGGAGAGGTGTGTGTGTGTTAATGAATATTATTATTATTCTAAATGAGACTGAAAACTAGACTTTAAAAAGGTCAAACATGCTTCTAACTTACGCTGGCAGGGCTCTAAAGGGAGCATAGTCTTTGACGAGTTTCATAAATAAGTGATGCTGGTCACTCAAAGGTGTCTCCTTGAAGAATGATGCCGGCTTGTCATACAAGGTTATTGCTCTGCAACACAAATGGTTTGGCAATGAAAACAAAGATAACGTCACAAACATGATAAGAAAGAAAGTATGTATCTTTTAAAAGTGCTTCCCAAACACACACACAAAATTAAGACTGAAGATCTCTCACTCAGAGGTATGCAGCTAAACCACTAGATGTTTTTGACCTTCAATTCCATTAGTCTCAAGAAAATAAAATTCATTAATGTCTGGAGCGCCAGAAAGGGATTGTGCTGTGGGCCATATGTGTGGACTCCTTGAACTGCATACTTTTAGGCATCCTCTCAAGCCGTTTATATTCACATGTATGTATGTAGATGCCTTTCAGTACAACTAAAGCTACAAACAACGTATAAAGGCTTTCCAACAAAACAATGCTATGATACAGCAAAGATGTATACATTCAAATTTAATAAGCAGACCCATCTCTTGTTTAAAATAATAATCCCAGTTACATTTTTGGACAATTATACACATGACAATACTACCCCCTTCTAAATATATGGGGTTGAGGGACTTATCCAGGAGGACTGACTATTTCTGTATGGCTGTCTAAACCCTAGATCAAGGGGTCTGGAACATTCCTTCTAAGTATGTACTCCTTATTTGGTGAGATCCTATTTCGAGCCCTTGATTTACCTAATATTACAGTTCTTCCCAAGATCCTCTTTCATTGCATTCGTCACACAAATGTTGTCATCAGAGAAGCGGCCAAAGAATTCTTCATACCTAAAAGCAAGTGAGCTTCCATCCATTACTAAATCCTGAAATCTACGTATCCCCGCTCAAGACATCTGCAGGGAAATGTATCACTCCCCTGCAGTTGTAATGATTTTTTTTAAAAAAAAGTAAACTAAAGCTGAACCAAATGACTACAAATCCTCTGCTACCAACCATTCATTTCTTAACCCTCTTTAAGCTCCAGAAATGTAAATTATATTTAATTACAACTTCCAACATCGGCACCATTTCAAGCTAGGAGCCCCCAGTGGTGCAATAGGTTAAACCCTTGTGTCGGAAGGATTGCTGACTGAAAGGTCGGGGAGCATGGTGAGCTCCCGCCTGTCAGCTCCAGCTCACCATGGGGGGACATGAGAGAAGCCTCCCACAGGACAGTAAAACATCAAAATACCCAGGTGTCCCCGGGGCAACATCCTTGCAGACAGCCAATTATCTCACAAGTTGCTCCTGACACACACACACACACAAAACCAAGCAGAAAAATGTGGCTTTAAGAAACAACACTAAATAATGCAAAATAAATAATGCAGAATTCCGGGATCACTGGCTTGAACATAGCGTCAAGTGCAAGTTGTAAATAAACCAGCACTATATATATATTAAAACAATGAAAGAAGCAGAAAAAATACTGGGCAGAGAACTGAGCCCAACTTCAGCAAAACTGGAAATACACACACACAAATTCCATTGAGCCTTTTAAAAGATTTGTCTTGGTGTTTTCAAAAACGTAACACAGAATAAAAGTCTATGCAAGTTTTTCATTTTTTGAAAACACATCACTGCTCCATTTGTATACTGACCAAGTGTTTATTATGAATTTTAAAAAAGAAGAAATTGTACAAACCATTTTGCAATCCGCACTATAGGGTGCCTCTTTCCATGCGTCAGACTCATGATTGTATAGCCATAGTTGTGCCAATCGATGATGAACTTGCTCCCTTGGAGAAGACAAACCAACCATGTCACTGCTAGGCTGGGCAGACCTGGAGGATTCTTGTTCATGAAATGAGGGCAAAAGAGAAGAGGTTTAATATGGTTTATTGTTTGTTTCCACTATGGCTGTAAACCCTTCCTGAAAATACTCACTGAAAGTCAAACCTCTCCTCTGTACTGCACCATTACACTATGTAACACAATTTTTGCTCCTGAGTTATAAATGTCATTTTCTAATTGGTTCAATTATAAAAACACAAAAATGTTTATTAAACTGCAAAAACTTTGTTTTTGCGGGAGGGACGTCATGCAGTACATTTTGCTCTACTTTTTCTATGAATCTCTCACAGAGTCTCAACCAATTCAACATAATTTGTGGCATTAGCAGTGCTATAACAGTTGGGCCTAACTATTGGATTCAGACTACTATTCTCCCTTATCAACCATGTTATTATCCTCACAACAATCTTATGGGCCCTTCCACACATCCTTATATCCCAGAGCATCAAGGGAGAAAATCCCACAATATCTGCTTTGAACTGGGTTATCTGAGTCTACACTCAGATAATGTGAGATTTTCTGCCTTGACATTCTGGGATATAGGGCTGTGTGGAAGGGCCCTATGAGGTAAGTCAGGCTGAGAGGTCACTCCATGAGCCCCTTCCTTGGGATTTGAACCTCTGGGCTCTAACTTCTACTCTATAAACATTGATTTACAAATGCAAATACAGTTAAGAAAACTAGGAGATGGGTGTACCTGGAGGAGGACATGACCCGGTTTGTTTATACTCAGCATCGTATACAACAACTGGAGGCTCTGCAAAATGACTTTTGCAAGATACTGGAAAACTTTTGGCCCAACTGCAGAAAGGAAATAATCTAGTATCAAAAACACAGACAGGTTGTCATCAAAGCTGTCTAAGCATTAGGGGGAGAAGGGGCAAATATATTCTAACTTAACAACATGCAGATATTAGTGTGTTTTGGTGAAAACTGGTAGCACACATTACTGTCTCATGGAGGAATTTTCCAATGCTGAACTTGTAGGTCAAGACTCTAAACTTTGGGGAAGTTCTGGGTGGGGTTGTGTGTGTGGGGGACGAGGGACGGGGACGGGGACAGACCAACTTTGAATAAAATTTTAATTGTACTTCTAGCATTTTAACTTTCGTATCCACCCAAAAATGTTTAAGTGTTCTTTAAATTTTTGTATATGTCATATAACGTATAATCATTACCACCATCATTTATATTTTAATAGGAGCCACTGTGGTGCAGCAAGTTAAACCACTAAGGTGCTGAACTTGCTGACCTGAAGGTCGGTGGTTCAAATCCGCAGACAGGGTGAGCTCCTGCTATTAGGCCCAGCTTCTGCCAATCATGCAGTTTGAAAACACGCAAATGTGAGTAGATCAATAGGTACTGCTTTGGCGGGAAGGTAATGGCACTCCATGCAGTCATACCAGCCACATGACCTAGGAGGTATCTATGGACAACGCCGGCTCTTCGGTTTAGAAATGGAGATGAATACCACCCCCCGGAGTCGAATTCGATTAGACCTAATGTTAAGGGCCATCTTTACCTTTACTATATTTTAGTAATCTCACCATTGTCCTACAACTGGGACGCCAGATGCCTTATAACACAAGGAACAGAATTATGCAGCTAAAGAGCACAACATGGCCCCATCTACACTGCCATATAAAATCCGGATTATCTGTTTTGAATTGGATTATATGGCAGTGTAGACTCATATAATCTATTTCAAAGTAGATAATGTGGATTAATTGCCTTGATAATTTGGATTACATGGCAGTGTAGAAGCAGTCTATGTTAGGTATTTTACACATTAAAATCTTCCAATCCACCTCTTTATTAAATCCCTTACTGGATTAAAAGGAAGTTGTCTTCTCCCAGCCTTCAAGGACCCCACAAAAGGGAAAACAGTGGGGAAATGGCATCAAAGGATGGCAAAGGCTCAAGTTTTGTAATGCCCTTAAGATTTTTCTATCCAAACCACTTTTATTTGGAAACAGTGTTAGTTGAACAAACAACAAGAGACATGCACTTTACCTTGCCAGACTTTCAGCTCAGTCATATGGACAATCTCGATGTTTCCATTACGTATAATGTCACCGTGTGGGTGCGTGCCTTGAAAGAAAAGCATAAACGGTTAGGATCATTTATTCAGTATTCAAAACCGAGGAGAGGCGGGTGAGCTCCCTCTGTCAGCTGCAGCTCCTCATGCGGGGACATGAGAGAAGCCTCCCACAAGGATGGTAAAACATCAACTCATCCGGGCGTCCCCTGGGCAACGTCCTTGCAGACGGCCAATTCTCTCACACCAGAAGCGACTTGCAGTTTCTCAGGTCGCTCCTGTCACGACCAATCCAATTTATTCAGTACATACGCAAATACGAGCAAACACAACATCCAAATCAAGGAGACGCAAATTGGGTGAATGTAACATTGCATGGAGTTGGATGACAACTGGGACTCAGACCACACTTCTCAGACCTCTGACCTGGCCCTGAGCCAGATGTCCTCTGAGCATGCGCAGAGCGCTTCAATGCCTTCTCTTTCTTCCCCGGAAACGGGCCACGGCTTACCTGGGTAGCCGACCAAGGTGACGCGGCGCCCGCGGAGAGCCAGCGAGAGCGCATGGTACTGCATGCGGGGGCTGCGTCCCAGGTCCCCCAAGACCACTACCGCCACTCGGGACTGGGTCCCGCTAGGCCTCAACCGCCGTTGCCATAGCAACAGCAGGAGCGGCAGCAAGAACAGCCCAGCCGTGGCGATGACTAGGACCGCCATCTTGAAGGAAGAGGAAGCAGGAAGGCTAGAGCGGCTCTTTGGAAGAGGCCTGGGCTCCTGCGTAGGACAGAAGGAGTCAGCGCCCTCTGCTGGTCAGAGCTAGGAAAAGGAGGGAAAGCATTCCAAGAAGCCCGCGCCGACTCCTGATTGGTTGGAAAGCAGCCCAGCTAGGATCTGCTCCCTGAATGGCTCAGGACATCTTTTTTTATATATATAGATAGTGGCGGGAAATGCAACAAGCCATCATCATTGGAGCATTTGAAGCGTCAGTCCTTTTCATGATGAGCTTAATGGTGAACGTAATAGGGTTACTTTAGGCACTGGCCAACTTCGGCCCTCCAGGTGTTTTGGACTTCAACTCTCACAATTCGGAATTGTGGGAGTTGAAGTCCAAAACACCTGGAGGGCCGAAGTTGACCCAAGGCTGGGTTAATCCAATGTACACAATGGATACTTGGGGATGATAACCATCTCAATAGGTGATGCTGGCTTGAGGCCGTTGTTTCTATTTCTTATTTGTATACATTTCATCAAAGAGTATAACCTCAATTTAAGAGTGTGACGATGTGTAACTTTTATTCTTATGGTTATGTGTTGTTTAAACACTAGTTAATAAATGGTAAGCATGTATGATTATATTTTATTAGAGATGGTGGCTGATTTAGCCTGAGCTGAGTTGCCATAGCAACGGGGGCGGAGCCAACTGCCTCTTCATGGGGCAGCTGTTTGAAAGTGGCAGTCTGTAAGCCCGTGAGCTACAGGGAAGACTGAATCTCTGGGTGGAGATCCAGGGAATTAATTTGTGACCAAAGGGGTTACAGGAAAGGACCCGGTAGTGATAAAACTACAGGGGGTTATTGATTCTGGGTTAAGAATCAAGGTTTGGCTGGGAGCCAATTCTGTTAAATAAGCCGTTTAGCTTATTTGTTTTATTAGGACAGTTGTCCAGGAAAGATACAACTACTTATAGAAACCTCTTAAAGTCTGAAACCTAAAGTTACTCATGAAACCTTACTAATGTAACCAGTCAAGATTCGTGCCTCTTGTGAAGAAACAATCAAATCTGTTATACCTTGCTTGTTCCAATAAAATTGTTACTGTCTCCTCAAGCCTTGCCTGATACAGTTTATCTTAAGTTAAACAGCCTGCATAAGAAGTAAAACCAAATCAGGGACAGAAAACGCTACGCTATCAATACTTCTGTAAATGATAGTCCCTTTATAAACCAGCTCATAAGCTGATATTTATCATTGCCCGGCTTTCCTCACAGATTGGGTGGCAGTAATTTTACTCTCCTTTACAAAGAGCACCCCAACTTACGAGCATTTTGAGTTAAGAGCCATTGCTCAGTGCTGTTTTGCTTTGACATATGACCAGTGTTTTGAGTTAAGAGCAAGTGTGAGAGTGCAGGGCTTCAAAGGAGCAGCCTCCGGGCCTTGTGTTCTTGTCTGCTTTGGGAGAAAGTTTGCTGTCCACTTTGCTCATGTCCACTTTGAGGAACGTTGGGTTAGTTGATTTTGTGTGGTTTTTATTCCTGGTCTCTTTGGCTTGATGAAAAGAGAGAGAGAGCAAGAGAGGGAGGGAGGCTGGAAGGAGGACAGAAGGAAGGAGAAAAGGGTACTTCTGCCTCTTTGCTTTGTGTTGCTTTGTGCTCCATGCCACAACGTTATGCTTCTACCATTTTAAAGTTGTTCTTTAATTTTTATTGTTCTACTAGCTTGGGTATCCAGCAATACCAGGGTTATTTGAAAAAGGAATTGTTTGGTTTTTGATGTTATGGATTGACCCGTTAGAAATTAGTGCAGATCCATAGGGGTGATTTGAATGCAATATTCCTGCTTCTTGGCAGGGGTGTTTTGGTACGGCTGTACCAGGAGCTCCAGCTTATCTTGCTATTTGTTGAGTGTTGCATGTTTTTAAAAGTTCTATGCATTTACAGTTAGGTGGCTTTCCTTACTTTGCAGTTATTGGGTCAATGACCTGTCAGTTATCATTAGGATCCCTAGTTCTGCCCCCTTTTTGGGTTTTGGAAGGAATAGGAGTCATTTTAGGTCACTCCACACAGAGAAGTCTTTCTTACAGGATTTAAACCAGGACCTCCTGTAAAAGGCTTCATCATTTACAGCTTGGCCGCGGGAAAATAGCCCCATAGCTTGGCCAGGGATATACAGTCTCAGCACAGTTTTTGCTGGGGACTTTACAGTTTGCTGAGGAACTTACAGCCTCTCAGCTCTCTTGCTAGGGATCCAGGCCCATAGCGCTTCAGCCAGCCATCACTGGGAAGTGAACATCTTCCTCCTCCTGGAAGTTCTGCAAAGGTCTCTGTTTGGTAAGGGCCCTTCGCAGCAACCATAAAGCAGATTGGACCGGGTGTAGGGGCCCCGCGCCAACAGAAGAGAACACAGATTGCCCAGGGTAGAGGTCTGGGATTTTCCCAACAGTGAAGGAACAGTTGCCTGCCCTTGGGGGCAAGATTGAGAAAGCCAACTGTTTATTAAGAAAACTTTGAATCCAATCGTTGAAGCCTTGTTATTTGTTCAGTAATAAAGATTTTGTTGCATCTTTAAAGACTTTGAAGCCCATCTTTTCAGGAAAATCCCAAAAAACCTCTCTCTGAGGCAACCCAGGCATCCCGTTGAGCTCACATAAATTAAGTCCTGTTTATAGTCTTTTATAGGAGCCCAGCACGCGACAGCACAAGGGGGTTGGACTGGATGGCCCATGAGGTCTCTTCCAGCTCTTTGATTCTATGATTCATGGCAGATGGGGTTTGCTGTAGTCTCTGGATGTGGGTGAAGGTAGTGCCAATCCCATTGACTGTGGTCCATCCTCCCCAGGACCTAAAGTGGGTCATTGGGGTCTGTGTGCCAATTTTGGTAGAGATCCGACATTTGTGGGGGTTGCAGTGGTCTCTGGAAGTCAGAAAAATCATTGCCCACACACAAACATTCACTTTTATTATATACATAGATAGATCGATAGATATATAGAAGTTATACATAGATAGATGTGAATGTATACATTATTTGTAATTTTTCTTATTTAAAAAACACATAATAAAAATGGGAGGGGAGAGTTTTGAGCCCACCAAATGGATTAATAACATTTCTATGGCAAAATCTACTTCGAGATAAGAGCATTTTGAGTTAAGAGCTCATCACAAAACGAGTTCAACTCGTTAAAAGGCATCACTGTGCCTTTTATAATTTGGGAGTCTGATTTCTGGATGTCATATTGACCATGGAGAAAGTGGAAACACAGGCAAAGGGACGGGGGCAATCTCTTGAGCAAGCCCCACCGATGCTGTGTGGTTCTCTGGACTAAGTAGGCGTGAGTGATGAGGTGGGAATTTATTGACAGCTCAAGAGAACATGTCATTCTCTACACCCAACATCCTCCTGGCTACCCATGGTGTTGGCATAGGGTTGCAGGAGAGAGATAGGGGCCCTTCTATATGGGTCCTAAAACAAGGAAGAAACCAGGATAAAAAGACTAAGTGACATTTAAGGAAAATGCACACTGATTTGGAGTAACAGCTGAAAAACACGTGTTAAAAAGGAGCGCTTACAACCCAATTTTGGCCGAAAACTGCACATATTCACATGACTGTATATCCCCCCACTCAAGGAAAACACACAACTTCATTGTGCAAATTTTAAAATTGCATTTTAAAATCCCAAAACAGCTTACCAGCACTGTAAACAAATGGAGCCACGGAAACACAGGTGGCTAAACGGAAGCACAAATGGAAAGCAATTGCAATGAGAACTCTGCAACTATTCCTTTGCTCTCACATTTAAGAAATTAAACAGAGCTTGAATTTACAGTAGGGTGAGGAGAGATAATAAGAAATCTGCTTGTGTGTACATTCAGAAAGCCGAATCAGCGTATATAACAACAACCCAGTATATATAAGGTCCAGCGTGTCTCAGAGCATCAATTTTTTAAAAATGTTAACTTCCACCGGATGTCCCATGTCCATCTTGCCAATTTCTAAATTCTACAAAGGAAGGTGTCAGGATGGCAGGGGAGCGTTTACTGGGACTGACAGGTCTGTGTTTGGACTTGCTGTCAGGTCCCGCATTTTTTTCCAATTAGTTCACACAAGCACTCTCCATCCATCTGGGGGCTGTGGGTGGCGCAGTGGGTTAAACCCTTGTGCTGCTGAACCTCTGACCTGAAGGTTGGCAGTTCGAATCTGTGGGATGGGGTGAGCTCCCGCTGTTAGCCCTAGGTCCTGCCAACCTAGCAGTTCAAAAAAAACATGCAAATGTGAGTAGATCCATAGGTACTGCTTTAGCAGGCAAAGGCAAAATGATGTTCCATGCAGTCATGTCAGCCACACAACCACAGTTGTCTACAGACAACACAGTCACCTCTGCTTGGAAATGAAGAAGAGCACTTCCCCCAGAGCCTGAGATGAGCACTGCTAGCAGAGCCGGAAATGTAAGGAGAGGCCTTTGCCTTTGTTTGTGTCAGTATTGTGCTTTCACTGTAACAAGGCACTGAATGTTTGCCTGTGTCTGTTTATATGGTGTAATCCACTCCGAGTCCACTCGGGGAGAAAGGCTAAATATAAATAAAGCATTATTATTATTATTATTATTATTATTATTATTATTATTATTTGCCACTGGCCCAGCCTGTCTGTCAAATTTTAAAAAGCAATGTGTTAAAAAGTTTGCCCATGCCTGATATTTATTTATTTATTTATTTATTTATTTCCTTTGCTTATATACCGCTGTTCTCAGCCCAGGGGCGACTCACAGCGGTGTACAACATAGAAAGGGCAAGGTTCAAAATTCAAGACACAATCTAAAATATCAATCTAGCAATAACCAAAAACATCATAATCAAAAACATCAACAATATCAATAATACAAAAATCCATTCGCGTCGTCTCATCGTTTAAACCACAATCCAATATCATTTTCCGTTGTTCCATTCCTGCCGTCATTACCAATTATATACACACATATATACATTTTATATCATATAATATGTACTATATAAATATTTCTTGGGGCTCCATGAAAAACGATTGCTTCAAAAAGGGCTCTGTGGCTGAAAAAGTTTGAGAAACCCTGCTGTAGAGTTCTAGTAACAGAGATGCCCCTCCTTCTGCTCCCCTGAGTTTGTGTTTCCTTGGGCACAGTCTCCTCCTCTGCCATCTGAATGCTGAGGGCACACTGTCAGCCGGCCCTGCCTGCTGCGGGCAAAATACCTTCTGGTCTTGGTTCTGACTCCTCAGTCCTTAGGCAAGGAGGAGGCCTCTGCGGATCATGGCCACTACTTTTGCCCCCAAGCTCAGCCCAATCCTGATGACCCCAGACCCACACTACATCCCTGGGTAAGTGCAGCAGTGGGACAGCAGGAGCCCTTCCCAGGTGAAAGGGATCCATGGAGTTGGAGGTACAGCCAGCATCTCTTTCCATGAAACTTGTCTATGTTGGGAGCAACCCCCCCCCCCCTTTTCCTCCCAAACCTGCATAGACATGCAGGTCTGGTGGGGTACCCAGGTCCCAGTCTCTGATGCTGTTCCAAGTTGGCAAAACTCTGAGGCAGGCTTTTTGGAAGAGGGGTGGGTGTCTTTGTGGCAGGATTCCTGGTGTATGTTTTTGTGTGGAACTCCGATACAGGAGGATTGGCAGGATACACCCCCACACACAACAAACACAAATAAACAGAGTCTTGTAACATCATCTGCTCTTGTGTGGACAGGAGGCCATAGCAACCAGAGAGGGAGCAGGAGCAGACACTTGAAGGACAAAACTTGCCTTATTCTTCCTTGTTCCTCCATTCCCGGCCCATGCACACATTAGGGAAGGGGCAAAAGAGGGGCCACCCACAGAAAATGGGCATCTTGGGGCTGTCAACTTAACAAAGAGACTGGAAAGTATACAGTAACTTGCAAAATGTGTGGGTGTGGGTGTGTGGCTGCTTCCATGCAAGTAGGGTGCAAGTACCTCACAACCTCTGAGGATGCCTGCCATAAATGCAGGCGAAACATCAGGAGAGAATGCTTCTAGAACATGGCCATATAGCCCGAAAAACCTACAACAACCCAGGGTGAGTCCATTTCACAGTGAAGGGGGCTGGCCTTACTCAAAAGCTACCTGCCCTCCCTTATGTGTTGCCTGAACTGTACATTTAATACAGTTTTGACTATAGTTTGACACTAGAATCTTGGGGTTTGTTGTTTGATGAGGCACCCGTAGTCTATGGCAGAGAAGTCTCAAGACCTTGCAAAACTAGAATTCCCAATGCTATTCCCAATACAAACACCCCCAGCAGCCATCAGTTTGGTACAGGCATGGACAAGCTTTGTCCCTCCTGGTGTTTTGGACTCCGACTCCCAGAATTCCTAACAGCCAATAAGCTGTTAGGAGTTGTGGGAGTTGAAGTACAAAACATCTGGAGGGACGAAGTTTGCCCGTGCCTGGTCTAGAAAAAAAGAAGAGGCGTTCCCTTAAGGGATGAGATCCCGAGCCATGTCAGGCTTCCATTGTCTCCCTGATGGAACTGGGAGAATAGTGCTGTACTATATAAGATGGATTGGATTCCTTTCATTAGATAGTTTTACTTGGAGATTAGATGTGTACCTCTTAAAGGTAATTTCGTAGCGGATCCTTTGAGAGGGTGGACTAGATGACCCTTGGGTCCCCTACAGGCTGTTTGAACAAAGATGGAATGAAATCCGAAAGGAAATAAAACAAAATGGTACACTGTAGGGTTCACACAGGAGTGCCATAACACCAAACTGAGGGTATATGCACCAGATCTTGGCCAGAAGAGACAGGAAAGTCAGGGTCCTCCTTGCCCCTTCAGCTCACCAAAACAACCTCAGTGCCCATACAAAAAAGTATTCTCCTGCTGAGGTGGGGTGGGGTGGGGGTGGGGGTCAGCTTTACCAGGCCTTGCAAGACACTCTGCATTGCCTCTTTCTTACAGCTACTGTGGCTATTGCCCCCGTTACAAGTTTGCACTGGGTCAGACATACGGGAGACTCACTGGGCAGCTGCTTTCTAATTCCGAGGGGATGCACCCTGGACAGCTCCTGCTGCAGCCCAATGGCTTCTCCCACAGCAATAAGGAGGAGGAGGAGGAGGAAGATGAGGAAAGGTCTGGAGGTGGCAGAAGGGCAAAATGCCAAGCCTTTGAGTACTGCTTTGTCCCAGGATATACAGGTGGGTCACGTGGCTGAGTGGATGCAGTGGGGTTCAGGTAGTGACTGCCAGGTCAGCAGTAGCAAAGCAGGAGAATTAGAGGGGCAGGATGCTTGGGCACAGGAGCGCTGGAGGTCAGGGCTTGAGGTTCGAGCACCATATGTCAAGATATAGTGGGCGGACAGGTTTGGGGTGCGGGGCAAGACGACTAAGGCATATCCTCTAACACTTCATACATGAAAACCAGGACAAATGGAAGAATAAGTGAAAGATGAATGAAGCCATAGCAGAAGAGAGCTTCTTTGGACCCCAGAGCCAACTGGCCATGGAGGAAGCGGAAACACACAGACAAGAAAACCAAAGCCTGGAGGAGCTGCAAGTCTATCCATATGAAATACTGCTTCAGGTGCAGCTTTGTAGAAGAATAAGTAAAAGAAGAACAAGGCCATTGAGGAAGAGAGCTCCCTTGGAGCCAGAACTCACCACCAGAAGACCTTAACCAGTGTTCACAACATTCAAGGGGAGCTCTCTTTCCTTCCTTCCCCTGGAGGCCAGTGTGAAGATGATGGCAGATCTGAAATATTTCTTCAGGTGCAGATGGAGGGATTGTTTGCATTGTTTCCCTCATCCTTTCCTTATCCCTCCCCATATTTCTGCAAGGGACAGATGCCTGGTGGAGGCTTCAAAACCCAAAAAGGAAAACATTTATCATCACCCTCTGATTTCTCCTTCTTTCTGGGCAGGATTCATCCCTCGGGCCCAAAACCACTTTGCCAAGACCTACAGTCGGGTCTGCAAGGAGGCCAGGAATGAGTTTGCCCGGCAGGTGGCGAAGCAAGTGGGCATCAAAGCAGCATGGCAGCGAATGGAGCCTGAAAGAGAAGGCGGAAGAGGAGGAGGAGGGTCCCCGCAGGAGAACGGCAAGCTGGAGTCTCAAGTGAGTGGTCTGATGTGGCAGGCACTGAGGCTGCTGCAGATGGTCTGGTGCCATGGGCATCTCTCAGGGCCCTATTGTGGTCCCGTGAAAACCCTCTCCACAAGACAGTGGGGCCCCCAATGCTGTCCTTCCATGAGGGATGTGGTAGGGTTTCACCTTGTCTAAATCTGAGGAAATGGGAGCACATATATTTGGGAATCTAGTTCTTTCTCTCTCTGGTACACAGACAAGCTAGCAAAGATATGAGGTTCCATAGTAGACCTCCTCCTCTGGGTGTCACACAACCAGTTCCCCTTCTGTGCTCTTAATAGGGATGTTCTTGGGGGTAAGGGGACTGTTTTTTGTCCCCGGTATGGAAACTTTCCAGGATAGCCCTGGTTCTGCCTCATTTCAGCCATTCCTTTACCAGACTGGGGAGAAACAAGTCTATGAAAGGTACGCTGTGGCCTGACTTTGCCCCTCTTGTGCCCACCAGCCCCTCCTTACTCGGGCTAAAACTCCACTGAATGCCCTGGGGAAAGCTGCTACTCCTTATGTCTCTCGCTGTGCTTTCCAGCCTCAGGGATCACCCTACTCACTGGAGGACAGCAACCCTCAGAAATACTTCATGTCAGGTGAGTGGGGTTTCCCAAGGACATTTCCCAAATGAAAAACAGAACATGTGTGGCCAAGGTGCAACCAAAATTGCAAAGATTATTGATAAATAAGGAAGAAGCTTGGAGAGGCTAGTACAGATTGCTTTTGCCTCAACCTCCTGGGAAGTCCACTCCAACTTCTCCTCTTCTAAAACTACTGCTGTACTTTGAGCTCAGTCTGCAGCAAGTGGAATTAATGATAGAAAAGGGAAAGGAAGAAAGAGAAATGGGACAATTAGCAAGTAGCTGAAAATGAGGGCTAATGGGAATAGTCCTGGCCAATTTGGGACAGGCTCTGGCTCTCATAAATGTTTTCGTTTGTAATTTGGCAAGGATTTTAACTTTTCAAAGTCACTAAGAGTGCTCAGGAAAGGGGAGATAGAGATGAACAGAATATCAGTGGTAAGGCTGGAAATCAGAGCAGCTGCTCCTGCCGCAATGCTAAACTTCACCCTTATTTCTCAGGCTTCACAGGTTTTGTCCCCAGGGCCCAATTCCTGATAGGAGCCAGCTACCCTGTGATCACCCACCGGGCGCTGCTAGAGTTTGACCGGATGCTTCACAAGCCCAGGCCTTTGGGGTCTTCAGGGAGCAGCAGCCAGGAGGGGAAGAGCAGGGGCCAAGCCCTGCCTCCGCTGGCCATAGTCTTCCCTAAGGACGGGAGCCTCTTGCCCCATTACAAGGGCTACGTGCCAGGTGAGCCAGTGCTCTGCCTTCCTGGTGTGTGTCCTATCCATGCCTTGGCCTTTGGGTGGGCAGACATCTGTGTAATCCCACACCAGAATATTGCATGTGTTCATTAGAGGGTCTTCAAAGCTGTGAGATATCCTAGACATGGGGCTGGTGTTCTCTGAACCAAATCCTCTGCTGTTTGAAACATTTAAGACAGGGAAGGCCATGTTCACTACATATGAGATTTGGACTCTGGAGTGGACTGGCAGTAAGAGGGATCTTTCCCAAATCAACCTTGGGAGCAGGGGGTCTTGCACTCAGACCAAAACTTCAGACATTGTTCCCTAATGTGAATGCAAATTCCATCACCATCCAATTATCATCTGTTACTGCAAAGCCCTCCCAAAAAGCTTCTCTGTAAATGTGATGTGTGTTACCTAGGAAGAAACGCGCCTTACTGCGAGCCAATAATGAAACGGCACTTTCAGAGACACATTTTAATCCTTGGAAGCAACTGGGAAAATCCCATGCCCTCAACCCTGCCCTCCAGCCCCACCCTCTGCAATCGTAGAAACCATTTTGCAATTTAGGACTTAAGTTGTTTCCAACTTAGGACTTCCCAAGGCAGTAGGATCTCAGGGTTTTCTTGGCTAGTTTTATTCAGAGCAGTTTGGCCCCAAGGCTTTCCCCTGAGCCTGAGAGAATATTAGCAGTGGGATTTGCCCAAGGCCCACTGAGTGTTGGCCTACTCTTAAGTCGTGGGCCAACACTCAGATCTCACATTCCACACTAGTTCTCTATTGTTGACATGGCTTTCCTCTGAAGCAGTGTGCAACTTGTCCATCCTTTGATAATGCATCATGTCTCATTAAGAGCCACATCCACCGTTTTAATGTGTTGAGATGTGTTCCACACTGGGCATGCATACTCAGCAGCAGAGTAGCCAAGCGCAAGGGCAGATGTCTTCACTGTGTCTGGTTGTGATCCCCAGGTTGTGCCAGTCAGCTTTCGTATGATATTATTTCTAGCTTTGCTATTCAAGCAGTGCTTCTTATAAGTCAGAGCACAGTCCAGAGTGCTTTGGCTTCCCCTTTAGGTCTCCAATTAGTTTTTTCCAGTAACCCAAGGAAATCCCTTTGATCTTGGAGTGGGTTATGAAAAGGCACTCATTCTTTCCTCCCTCTCTGCTCTTAGGCTACAAGTTCCAGTTTGGGAAGACCTATGGGCAGCTGACCCGCAACGCTTTGGGCCGGAGCACACTGGAGAAGCAGATCTTAGGGGTTGTATAATAGTGGAGGATCCTTTCAACACTAACCTCCACTGCACTCTTTGCCTCGCTTGCTTCATTCTGTATATGAATCAAGAAGGAGAGTCTGACCAGTTGTTATCTCCCACTCTTGGCTATCCAGCCAGAGCTCTTTCCAGACCGCTTGCCTCGGCACATCCTTGAAAACCTCCTCACTCCCTACTTTTTCTTGCTCTTTTTCTCCCTCCCCAACCGCTACATGTATCTTTTTTGTCCAGCAAAAGTGGGTTTCTCTTCATGGAAGCCATGCCAAAATAAAACCTGTTAAAGCATGCAGTCTGGGCCAGATGGTACTCCAAACCGATACTGTGTGGCATTCCTAGAATCCAAGTAAAATCTGTCCGAAAAAGGACCAAGCAATCCTACCTACATGCACCACAATTCAAGAGAGATATTGACAAGCTGGAATGTGTCCAGAGGAGGGCGACTAAAATGATTAAGGGTCTGGAGAACAAGCCCTATGAGGAGCAGCTTAAGGAACTGAGCATGTTTAGCTTGAAGAAGAGAAGGCTGAGAGGAGATATGATAGCCATGTATAAATATGTGAGAGGAAGCCACAGGGAGGAGGGAGCAAGTTTGTTTTCTGCTTCCCTGGAGACTAGGACACAGATTAATGGCTTCAAACTACAAGAGAGGAGATTCCATCTGAACATGAAGAAGAACTTCCTGACTGTGAGAGCCGTTCAGCAGTGGAACTCTCTGCCCCGGAGTGTGGTGGAGGTTCCTTATTTCAAAGCTTTTAAACAGAGGCTGGATGGCCATCTGTCAGGGGTGATTTGAATGCAATATTCTTGCTTCTTGGCAGGGGGTTGGACTGGATGGCCCATGAGGTCTCTTCCAACTCTTTGATTCTATGATTCTGTGCAACCCAGCCCAGCGCTCAGACAAATCTTACTTTGACACAGAAGCTCATTTGTGGCAAAGATTCCCCATAAACTTGTCCTATAAAGAAGGAGAACTTTAAAGCATTTTGGAGGGGGTCGCAAACATTTGGAAGGTCAATCAGGCTGTGTTTTCTTCCCCACAGTGAGGAGGTCACAAATGCCTTGGCCTTTGGCCATGGAATGTACCAGCTAGTCTGTCTTCTGGCTTTCTGATGCTTTTGCCTCAAGGTGTTATGCTCTTTTAACAAGTGCTTGCTGCTTTTGGCTCAACCTGGGGCTTTATTAGGGAAAACACCCCAGGTGCGGGCTCTCAGAAATTGAGAGTTATGTTGCCAATCAGTCCCGGATTAAGAAGCCTGCTGAGTTTACTGAGACACTTGGAAGAAAGTTATGAGAGCTTGCGGCATAGATGGACAGGGGCTGTTTGAGGTGAAGCCAAGCTTCGGAAAAGCAAACACAAATTGTAAAAAGGACATGGGTTGCTACCTGTTTCCTTGGCTAAAGAGCTGCAGGGAAGGAGCCTAAATGAAGAAAACAACTTACTTAACCTATGTATAAACCCAGAGCAAGTTTGAGAAGCAACATTAGGAATTTGATACGCACTGTGGATAAGCCGAGGGTTGTTCTGCAGAAAGGGAAATGCACCAATGCCTGCTCAGGGGGACCACTGGCTCTCGCAGCCATTGCCATTTCCCCACCCAGGCATTCAAAGAGGCCATAAGTGATACCGGAGAAGAGAGAGGAATCGGTGTTTCTTTCAGGTTTTTCTGAGATGAATGAAACTCTTGCCTTTCGTCACTTAACTCGGAGAAGGGAATGGTTCCTTTTTTGGTAAAGAGATAAAATACGGGCCTTACACTGGCCTCTCATTAAATCAATCCAGTATATTGGAACTGGTTTTTGACTAAAATGTATAGTCTTATACATGAATATTTATTTGGAGCTGTCCAGTAGGGGTGTGCAAAATTCTGGACATTGTTTCAAATTTTGGAAAATTTGGGTGAATCAGAGATACAAATCCCCAAAATACAAAGCAGAAAGGACCTCAAATTTACAAATTGAAACATGAACCTCCTCTGGGAAATTGGTAAAATTTGTTGCTTTGGACCTCTTTTTTAATGTAACAAATCAGTGGATGACCAAAATGTTCTGAAACTTGGCAGGAATGATGCCCAATTTATGTTCTGTCCATGTTGAGAAATTCAAGGGGATACCTTTTTTTAAAGAAAGACATTTTATTTGTAAAAACTTTAAAAATTTCCTAAAAGTTAGTGGATGGCTGAAACACTCTGAAACTTGGCATCCTTACAGTCGTAAATGTGGCCTACAAGTGTGGCAAGTTTCATTCTGATACCCGTAAAAAATGACAAAGAAACCCTACGAATATGTTTTCCCATTGCTGCTAATCAACCAAATCTTATTAAAACAATAACAACAATTCGGAATTTGAATTACTAATTGAAACGCCCCTTCCGAATATTCCCGAAATGTGTGTGTGTGTGGGGGGGGGGGTGTCCGAATTTCGAAACAAAACCAAAATAGATTTCTGCCATTTTGCATACGTCCAGTTCATTAAATGACTATGGGTAGTCACAATCTCTATACCTATCCTAGAATTCAATCATGGTTTGTTTTGGAGATGCATGGAAGCCTCTTGGTGACATATATGGATGTCTTTGAAGGTACCTCCTTCTGCAATATTTCTCATCAGAGGTGATGCTCCAGGGCTAGTTTTTGGCTGAGGAGGCCAAGGGGTGCCTCAGAAGAATCTAGCTGTAGTTCAAAAGACGTGGATATAGCATGCCTTCTCCAGAGGAGCTCAACTGGTTGCTGACACCATTCTGAGTCTCCCCTTTTCTGGCTGCTGCCTAGATGAGCCCACTCTCCCTTGGCCATAGTGAAATAGTGCACTTTAAAGCAACTGTGGACAGTGAGATCCCACCTGTGGATAGAGAAACCTGCAGCACAGATACTGAGTTCTGATAAGCGGATATTGGTACTAGCTGCAGGCCACTCGTGAATCCGTGTGCGAGCCAAAGAAGCTACACCCAATGTTCCCAAATAAATTGAAGGTCCCACAATATTCAATTTTTAAGGTCCTGAAGTTTTTTCATCTCCCTTGCAAACCAGAGGTCTGGCAACCCCTGCAAGGCCACTTCTAACACCAACAGACATAGGAGAAAATGCAACTATCTTTTCACTTGCCTTTCTTCCCACCAGTCTTTTATCTTTGTGCTCTTTCCCCCATGGTGATGTGCCCCAACTGGATATTGAAACATATTTGGACCTTGTGGGAAGGTTTTTTAAAACTAGTAAATAGTATAGATGTGATATTCTTCACCACGAATGTGAATGTGAACTTGGACATGACACCTGAGAAAGAGAGGTGCGAACACATCCTTTAGATGGAAAAAACAACTGCAGAGACCTCTTTCCTAATGAGCTTCCAAATGGGCATAATTAGGGCAACATTGATTGCTAGCGATATTCTGTCTGAGTTTCTTTCTTGGATGAGCAGATAAGACAAATAGCAGTCAGCAAATGGAAAAGTTTTTGTCATCCATCACCCAGACACCTTAAACACCCAAAAGCTTCTGAGCATCTAGTTGGCCAAAAACAGCCACACATTCCCCATGCCATCAACATCTCCATTTGAGACATGGCCATAACCAAGAAATATGGAGCAGTGACTAAAGCAAAAGAGAAGAGCACCTTTGGGGACAGTAAAAGGCAATGTTTACTCCTTGGTAGTACGTTTCTTCACCTTTGTGACAGGAACCTACACATTTGAAATATCTTACCCATAACATCTCTACATGTTGCAACACCTTTTCTTTTATAACCTTCATTGTTGGCACAGTAAAATGGTTGAAAATCATGAAACCCTAGGTCTCCGTGTTGTCACGGCATACAAAAATGAACTCTTACAAGTTCTGCTGAGGACTCATCTGAACTCTGTAAAATAAGGCAAAGAAGAAGAGATGCCATGAAAAAGCAAATCCCTGGGTGGCTGCTTCTGTTTGCTGTCAGCCATACATAATGGAAGTGCTTTAATCCTAAGGTCTAATGAGACATCAGTATTTTAAAACACCTTTAAATCTTTGCCTGGGCAAAGCTAGAAACTTGTTTTCACAAAGCTTATAAAATGCAATACAAGAACCATGTCAACAAAGAGAGGCAAATGAAAAGAGAGAACATCACCTTTGGGGTTTCATAGCAGTTTGCGGTCAATAAATACAAGGTTTATGGATAACCTTTTCATAAAAGTAAGGGGATGCTTTGTCTCCTGAGCAAATGGACCACAGCTGAGACTTAAGAATGACAGGTCTGGTTGGGTACCTCATAAGGCTGCTTTGAGCCCTGGCCTGCCAGAAAGTATCAAGAAATGGATTATAATGTGTATGCTTCCATGTTGGAGTTGATATAAGGTCAAGTCAACATTTCTCAGCCTCATACCCAGTTCTCTAAGCTGCTTCTCAGTGGTGGCGCAATGAGTTAAACCCTTGTGTTGCTGAACTGCTGACCTGAAGGTTGGCAGTTCGAATCTGCGGGACGGGATGAGCTCCCACTGTTAGCCCTAGCTCCTGCCAGCCTAGCCGTTTGAAAACATGCAAATAGGTACTGCTTCGGTGGAAAAAGGCAAAAAGACACTCCAAGCAGTCATGCTGGCCACATGACCAGGAGGTGTCTATGGACAATACAGGCTCCTTAGCTTGGAAATGGAGAAGAGCACCTTCCCCAGAGCAGGGGATGAGCTCCGCCTCCAGAGCCTTTGTCTGTGTATTTGTGTCTCATTGTATTTCATTGTAACGAGGCACTGAATCTTTGCCTGTTTCTGTTTATATGCTATATTCCTCTCTGAATCCCCTCAGGGAGAAGGGTGTAATATAAATAAATAAATAAATAAATAAATATTGTCTTGAAGAGACTTGCAAGCCTCCCTTCAGCCTCCTGTGCTTTCCCTCACCTGCACATGTGCACCACAGTGCTATGTGCTGAGCACCCCTGCTCTCCCTTCCCTGATCAGTCTCAGAAGCATCCCTCCCATTGGCTGAGAGGCCAGCTGAGAGGCCAGCCATAGCAGAGGAAGGCTTTTGGTGGAAGCATTTTCTTCCAAAAAGGAAGAGGATAGGCAGAGAGATCTTCAGCCTTCTCTGCCAATGGTCTTTGGTTACCCCTCTACAATGCCCATTTGACCCCTCAAGGGGTTGTGACCCCTAGGTTGAGAAATGCTGAAGAGTAATAATTAGTTTGCTAGGCTGACCTATCGATGCAACACCATTTCTGTTCCTGAGTTATACATGTAATTTCCTAATTGGTTCATTCATAAAAACATGGAAAAGGTTTATTAAACTGCAAAAGCTTTGTTTCTGTGGGAGAGGCATCCTGCAGCACATTTGGCTCTAGTTTTTCGATAAATATCTCATTGAGTCTCAACCAATTCAACCTAGTTTGTGGCAGCCACAAAAACAAAGTTTTTGGAGTAGAACAGGGAATAACACTTTCAAACTAGGAACAGATTTTTTGTCAAATTTTGTTATATAGTGTTATCATACCAATAGTCTGTAAAAGAAACTTTTACAAACTTGCAGTGTTGTTCCCACAACACTCCTAACCACAATATGATTTTCTGGAATTGATTGCAAAAATAGACAATGCTGCTGGGCATTCATAGCATGAAGTTCGAGCTTGCTTCTGCTTTAGATCAGTAAAAGACAGGTTTTGTGAGCGCAGTCCCTTCCGTAGGTTGCATCAGAGAAGCTGGAACTTCACTGAAGCAGGAAGCTGTCAGAGAAGAGCTGCTGGCAAGTTGCTAAAGGTCAGGTGCAGTGACATTTGAAAAACCCTGCTTCCTTTCTACTGGCCATCCTCCCACAGAAGGGTCATCCCTTTGACCTTTTCCCTTCCTCCAGTAGAGACCATTGGGGCAGGAATAAATCCTGAAAGGAAAGCTCTCAGCATGATAGGTCCCTTCAAGAAGTTTCCATGCCCAGCAAAGGAAAGGACTTTTGTAAAGCTAATGGGTCCTAATTGTCCATTCTGAACCAAGCCACTCTTTTTTAAAAAGACTTAAAAAGGGGGGGGGGGTTGCTCACACTGCATTTCAGAATAACACACAGCTATCTCAAATGAAACAATGCCATGGTTGCATATGGTTCAGGGATGGACTGCAGGGCATTTTTATAGCCTTTGGGGCTTCAAGGACTTTTAAAAAATGCACCCCAATTTTTCCAACTCCCTGTTTTTAATTTTCCTACTATCCTCCAAAGACATTGATTCGTTTCTCCACTGAGGATATGACTTACATCCCCTTTGGCAGAGCTATGAAGTGTCTTCTTAACAGGTTTACTGCCTTTGGGGTGATGAATGAGTGTCTTCTTGAGATCCCGGGGAAATTATAACAGCAAAATCAAGGTAATAGTTTGTGGTTCCATCTATGGCCCTTCGGAATGGAGATTAAATCACTTTCCATCTCTTAGGAATTGCTTTTCCTGCGTCTTCAAGATGCTTTTGATAGATGCTTCGACTTGGCTGAGATTTGTTCAGTGCAAGGAGTCATTCTTATTTGTTGGCTGCCTCTACCAAGCACAGAAAATGAATTTAGGTTTAAGTGTAAGTGTATCATACCCTCATCTGTCTGGTTCATATATTGTTGAACACAACACCCCCACCCCAATGATTTATAGTTTGCTAAGGGCACCAGAATAAAACTAATGATTTTTTTCTCTTCTCCACTAAACTTCCATGACTCCAGCAAGGAGTGAGACTGGCAGACGGATCAGCAGCCCCAACAACTCTCCCCTCTCCCAAAGTTCATTTTCATTTCTATA